CCTACAGAGGGGTTCATTATAGCCTTCCCAATCTACTAAAGTTAGCATTGTAGCATGGTCTGATGTCGTGTCTATATGTGGGACTAGGGTGCACTTTGACTTTTAAATTAGACGGCTGGATCCGAGAACTAAATCGAGTACATTACCTCGGTTATACGTTGCCATATCTGCAGGTGATAGAAGAGAGAGACAATTTTTATCTGCCCATACTGTGAACTTTTCGGCGCCGTGGGAGGGGCTGCGGGTCCATGATGGCTGCCACCTGGTGTGGTGTAGGTTGAAATCTCCAGGGATAAGCAGATAACCTTCGAAAGGGAGGGTGAGAGAGTAAAGGGAGTCGAGAACGCTATTGCCGGTGGATCCTGCAGGAGCGTTGTAGACGTTGACAACACTTATAGACTTACCCGAGGACGAGACAATTCTAAGGAGAATCATATCGCTTGAGAATGCTGTATTACCCTGTTCTGAGCAGAGATAGGCATTTTTTCGTACATAGGACATCACCCTGGATCTTGAAGATGTCGAGTTGTCAATAGGTGAGAAGGTCTCGAAGGATGGGTGGCGTTTGGTGATACGCCTGGCGCGGTCGCTGTAAATGTACGGTTCTTGTATTAGTACAATATATGCAGAGGCTATTATGGTTGGACTTGCTAGGGCACTTGCAGGTAGACTGGTGGAAGAATCCGGGATCACATGATAATGTATAACGGGGATGCAGGCCGGACTAAGGTGGAGCTGCGGTCGAGCTTACCTCAAGCTCGTAGCTCCCAGCACTTCCTTTCTCTTTGTCTTTTCTCCTACCTACGTAGTATAGCCTAATGTCCAAATACAACTTCTTCTTAGAGACCCGTATCATCCTCAGGTCAGTCGTAACAGAGGCTAGGCTGGCTTTGTTGAGAGCTAATTCGTGCAACTTGGCTCTGCGGCCGAGATTTGCAGATATTATTTTTTCTAGGCAATTATTTTGATTGCGGTGCCGTGAAGGAGTCATTACGATTGCACTTAGTCGCTGCCCTGATCCTCTGTGAGGAGAACTTCATGGGGGTTGACGGATTTTACTGAAACTGGCTGGGTTTAGCCTATTATAGCAGGAGTTGCGGCCAGAATATGCGTGATTTTGGGGCTGGCCGTAGGCCTGATACAGCCGGCTTCTGCTTGTTTCCGCAGGCAAGCGTCTGCGTTGATCTAGCAGATAGCACTTACTCGATTCTTGGTCTTCGGGGAACCGAAGGGCTTGGGTCGGAGGTCACGGCAATCATCGTCTGCTAGATGGGGGCCATGATGGTGGGTGTATCTGTTGGGGCATATATGTTGGCCCGTGGCGCCGCAGTGATTGGCATGATCTTTTTCGGGGTGTCCGGAAGATTCTCAAATGCGGCATCTGTGGTCGGAGGCACATGTGCGTGTATTGTGCCAGAGCCAGCATCGGGTGCACTGAACAGCTATCTGACGCTTAGGTAGAATTTTTATCTGTGTGCGGCAGCCAAAGAGGAAGAGGGTGCGTGGCAGGCGTTGATATGATTCTGGGAAACGCACGATCTATGTCGTCGACGAGGGCGTTTGATTAGCATCATTTTCGCGTGAAGCCGCAATAGCTACAGGGCCACCCCAGCTTCGCTAGCCAGGGCATCCTCCAACGCCTCAGCTGTGACGAGCATAAGGCAATACTTCCATTCTTCGTTAATGAGTTCTAGGGCTCCATATGTCTGGGGATCATTTTTTATGCAGTAGGAAGTCCATAGTTTGCTTTCTCTACTGGTGCGTCCCTGAATAAACTAACAGACTTTATTTTATCCGTGAGATTTTCTGAGTCTCCGTCTTTGGGGCAGAGGGCGAAACAAGTCTTCATTGACTGCACATTTGTTAGAATCTGGCCCTCATTGCCAAGCTTAGCTTTTAGGTGGGATTGTATTTCGTATGCAGAGTGATTCCGGATTGTATTATCTTCCGGGATACGAACGAATAAGCGGTCATCGGTGTGGGTGGCCTGGGGCTGAAACCGCGCTTTAGCAGGTGTTGGGAGGGTTGGAGTATGGCGACCGGCGAATTACTTGGTGGGTGCCCGTAAAGCTGCATTTGCGTATGTGTGTTTGTGTTTATTGTACTACTTCAGTCTATGACTATCTAGCACATTGGGCTCCTCTCTGACCCAGGCCACACATTGTACAGTGCTCCTTGCCTCTTTTGTTACTTGAAAGATCATTGATATATTCCCCTTGATGAATAGCCATTCAGCTCAGTGTTTAGCCGTGGAATTCGGCCACCTTTTCCACGGAACCTTGTTACCACCCCCTCCCCCCCCCCCAAAAAAAAAATAAAATAAAATAAAATAACAAAAAACAAAAAGGTTTCAATGGAAATTGCGTGCGCGGGAAAAAGTCTCAAAAAACCTGCAGCCCCAGCCAGGCGAGACCTAGACACCGGGATCATACGAGGTGCGCATATTCATCTATATCTCCCTTCTTTGTAACAGTTGAGGTCGACTTGATCCAATCCACCATCTCTGTATCAGGTGCTGGGTACGCTCCGGAAACTCATCGGATGGCATATTCTCCGTGATCAAGGGTTGGTGATGAGTAGGGCTCCGACCCTACCATCTGATCTGATCGTGGTTAGCTTCATGATAGTGGTGATAGGGGAATGTGTTGAGAGATGAATACGATACAGACCGCAAAAGCGACTGGGAATCCTCGTCGGAGTGAGGACTTTGTTACTCAATATCGGCTCTGCAGACTCTACAGTGAGAGCTGGAGGTTCACAGGGGACACCACTGACAGGTGTTGAGAATAGTCCCCCACTGCATTTGCGTAGGCCTGCGCAGTTTTTTGGGTATTGCGGCTGGGCGGGGAGGCGTCGTCGGTGACGGTCACAGACTTATCGCAGAGGTAAGCATCGACATGCCGTGCTGCGAATTTAGCTAGGTCATTACAGAAGCTTTTGAATGCTTCAGCTTGCTTGGCGGGTGGTGTAGCGTAGTTGGGTGCGTAGCTATGCTTGTCGATCAGTGCCGAAATACCTCCAAAAAAGGTCTCTGCTTCTTTTACTCGAGCTATCATAGAGTTTACCCTATTAGTCAGATTGTCTTACAAAAGGCCTGCAGGGGCTGGCTCTAAAAATGGGGCGTCGTCGAAGTCGTTGTATTCGATTTAACCGTCCTAATTAATTGGATCGATCTCAGTGTCATGCTGCTAGCTGCTCTTGGGTGTGTTGCAATCTCTAAGGGCTGGATTACAGAAGGGAGTGGCTTCTATCGCCTGATTCGGTCAAGACCCCCCATGATGGGGAGGGCTACACTCGCACGCGCTGAGCGCGAGACACAGCTTGATTCTGGTGTTGGTCTGGCTACAGTTGTCGGTTTCTGACGCGACTTGTGAAGGATAGCGGGAGGATCTATACAGTTCAATCTACAAATGAGAATATTTCAATCAAACCGACTCAGTCAGGATGTTTGAGAAAAGAAGTTCTTGTGCATGTCCCTCAAGCTATCTCTCATCTCTACGTATATACATCACATCCCTCAAACTTTCATCTCACCCTTTGTCCTTAATCTAAACTACTTGACTTTTGAATGCTTTGACAATGCCGACCTCACGTCAGAAACTGATGACATTAAATCTCTTGTAACGGAAATCCCACAGCTGACCCGGCCTACGGTCAATACCGTCTCCCTTCCCGCCTTTCCACTAACTCGGATACATAACTCAAGTGAATACTACCTTGCAAATCCACCAGAATAAATAATCATAAATCCACTACTATGTAACCCAAGCAAAAGGAAACTCTACTCAACAGAAGGTGTGTGGTCGCTTACATTTGGCCAGTGGCCCGTCTCTTATTTTACTGTGCTCCTGTATCCCATAACGTGAGATATAATGACTGCTCATCTCAACGACCGCAGCTTAAATGGCATTAGACCACACCAGAACTTAATATGCCATCACCAAGTGTCCTGACAAGTTCTATTAAAGATCAAGACGAGTCCTATTTTTGACAGTAAAGATGATCTTCTGGTGGAGTCTAGTATAAATTGGGAAAAATACAAGTCTAAGATACTTTCTACTGTAGGATTGATCCAGAGAAGATTTCCATCTAGCTATAATTTGAGTCGGTGGGGAGTGTGGAGATATTGACATGCGCAGAGATACTTTGGGAAATGTCTGAAGTCCATGAAATTGTCTATTTTCCCCCTATCATCTCTCACTTGCCTATATACATTCGAACCCTTTATGATCTATCCCACCCTTTCTGCTTGGCTTATAAATTTTAATTGAGTTGAGCTAATTGAATAAGAAACACTATCCCATTTCAATCTCATTTCAGTTACCACTCCAAGAATCTCTGGCGTAAGACCCGCGCGCGCACAGATAGAATGAAAAGATGTCATTTGCAGAGCCTGCTTAGAGCGCGCGCAATAGACTGGCGTTACTACAGAAAATGCCGGGTGGCAAGGGAGATATTTGATCAGTGAGTAGTTGACGACTCCCTCGCCAATACGATTGGAGTGAATGGCTGCGCAGAGAATTAATCAATAACCACTGACATCGCAGTTAAAAGACTAGATTGACCGGCGCTAGGATTTGCAAATGCTTCACTTGGCAAAAGTCGCCGAGGAAAGTTAAGGATATCGGCTCAGCCTAAGTGAAGCATGAACAAGTACAGCTTCGAGCTTAATTTTTTGCGAGCACTAATGTATCAAAATTAAATTGACTCAAAGTTTGGAAGTCCGATAATAATACAAAATTGTCTTTTTTATGGCCAAGGTTAGAGGGCTTGTAGAGATGAGAGTAATGTGAAGTAATAAATAGATGAGAAAGCTCCACACAAGTACATAGTGGGTCTCTCGAAAATGACTGCATGATTCATCTAAGATGAAAGCGGGGAGAGATGAATGAGTATTTAGATACAAGAACCGCACTGAAGTGTATGTTTATCCTTCAGATATTTCAATTTCCATCAGCTATTACCATTCTAACGAGCTACATCCAAAAACATTTGCCAACATGCGCTACTGCATCGTAGCCCTGATCCTTCAGAGCGTCAGCGTTTCCGTAGCAGTCATGGAGGCTTTTCAAACGCCGCATATCCCGGAGGACCAAAAATCATTCAATTGTGACGGACGAATTTATAATAGCCATTCATTTGGCCAATATAGAGATATGAATGGATACTTTCGCCATTCGGCCGCAGCAGACGTTAATCTGGTTCGTCGAGTTTCTGACGTGACCAGAGCAAAACAAACAGATGTGAAATATATGTACCACGACGATTCAAGAAGAATTGATCATCTACATCTGCCTATTTTTGAATCTCATCCAGGTAACCGCCACTAACCCTAAACGATGCCGCATCATGCCTGATAGTTCCACACAAGCGTCGTAATAACCCGAGATACACTCATTTATGATCAACATTCGCGAGTATGTGCCATTATAACCCAAATTGGCCAACCAACAAACACTCCCCATCGAGAGACTAGAACCGTCTACGACGTTTCAGATACATTCTGCCCAATTCAGCAACCAAATACTCACCTCTAAGACGGGGAGGTTGTGTGAAAAATATGTATATAATCTTTTAAATTTATTACAAGATGGAATAATTGGGGCTATCAAGTGCGCCACGTTGTTGACACACGTGACTACAAACCCTATACTTAGATTTACTTTTTTATCATTTAATGTGTATTCAGCTATAGAGCTATGACACATGACCGGTGCAATGTATACATGTTGGATGACTCTATTGACGTTAGAGACACTCATACTCTGGATTTTACTTGCAAATACCGCCTGTAAAAGGACGAGAATCACGGACGCTGCACGCAAAGGCTGTCACAAAATAATCTATATTTTCTGTGAAGAGAACACTTCAGTGGGACAGAGCCAATGTAAGGTGTGTGCTGATGACCACCTTACATAAGCACTTACTAAGCGTCTAACCTGTTGCTATAGACAGGCCTAATTGCCACATCCTACTTACATGCAAGGCTGGGCCAGTAAGTCAGCCCAGCCAACTAACACCGCGCAAAACCCGTAACACCGCCATGAGGTGAGTTTGCTTACACAAACAGTCGACCCTCCTCCGTAAGTATCCACCGAAGAGACGTTTCAGAACTTTTGATTATCCAAGCATACCATCGCCTCGAGAAATGTGGTTGTGTTTTGCCGGATTTGAACAAGCCAACTACTGTCTCGAGTAGGATATGTGTCCAAGCTGTCCAGACTCTACTTGGCAGACCGGCCAAGACGATGTACCACCGCACCATCCAACCATGGCGGTGTTTACAGTGTCGCCTGCACTTACGCAACCGAAGCCTCGGCACGCACAAAGCTCAATTCGTAAAACTCTTGCCAAAATTCGATATTTCACGCCAGTTGAGATTGTATCCCTCTTCTGCATCATCTTGTAAACTTATCCTGATCTCTCTCACGACCACCTCAAAGAACTGTCTCCCAAATTTGTGCGCCACGATCTGTTTCCTCTGTCTGGTGTAAATAGCGGCGTGGGCATGAGCGTGTATTTGGCGACCAGCTGAGGCCAGAAACAGTCGACGAGAGGTGTAGTCATGGAAACGAGGATGTACTGGGTCGTGCTTGTAGACTTGATGAAACTTAGGTAGGATTTGACCTCGTTGGGAGTAGAAATTTGACATGGAGGAATACATTGAATCATTACCTCGTGGGCCGACTTCTTTGGCATTGCAAAATTTCACTGAACCTGGCTCTGGGAGAATATTTAACTCCCAGGTTCGTAGTGGACACTGCGCACAAGCGATCAGTCTTACCCTCCTTAGTTTTACTTTGTAGTTGCTTGAATCAATGCGCACTAAAACCTCAATGACTGAGCGGTGATTATTTGTTAAGGTTATCAATTTACCGATATTGACAGATTCTAAGACTACAATCCACACGAGATTTATGAGATATATGGGAGACTTGTGAAAATTGGTGGGTTAAGGGAGTCAATAGATTCGGTGTGTCTCGGCGAAGACGAATTATTCACCTTCCAGCGGTGCGGTTGTTATAGCTCAGTATGCTCTGCATAACTGGGATAGCCAAGGTGAATCACTTTTAGGTTAGAGTCAAGAGCAAACACAAGCACCTTTCTAACAACAACCGCTTATTAGTGTCGACCTTGGAGGACAAGACTGAACACCTGTACGCGGTGCCTCTACGAATCTAGGAGTAAAATATACTCCCAGAGCCAAGTTCAGTCAAATTTCCCCTCATCATCTATTGGCAAAAATTGAGCACAACAACATACAAATTTACTATTAACTTTAAAGCTAGTTAGATAGTTTTAGCTGTCCTTCATAGTCATAGACTCAGTAGGGACATAAATAAAATTCCATTCTATTCAGTCAAATTTCGCAATATCAAAGAAGTTGGCCCACGAGGCAAAAATTCAAATTACTCCACCATGTCAATCTTTCACTCCCAAAGAGTCCGATTCTCAACTAAGCTTCATCAAGTCTACAAGTATGACCTAGTACATCCTCATTTCAATGACCACACCTCTCTTCGACTTTCTCTGGCCTCAGCCGATCACCAAATACACGCCCACGCCGATATTTATACCCGACGGAGGAAGCAAAGCGTGGAGCACAAATCTGGGAGATAGCTCTTTGGGATGGACGTGAGAGGGATCAGGATAAGTTTACAAGATGATGCAGAAGAGGGATACAATCTCAACTGGCGTGAAATATCGAATTTTGGCAAGAGTTTTACGAATTGAGCTTTGTGCGCGCCAAGACTTCGCTTGCGAGAGTGCACCTGACACTATAAAAACAAGCCGACGATGGAAGGTGTTGTGATCCGCCTCCTGGTGATGTTCTCTGGTATAGTTTGAGTAGCCTGGGCACCTACTCCACTTGGAAAGGAGACATCTCAGATTACATTTCGCGCGGAGAAAAGTTGATGGATGACGGATGCATGTCTGGATAACTCAGGACTTTTGAGACGTTCCCCTGGGTGGGTATTGACGGATGAGGGTTGACTTGGGGTGAAGAAAAAGCCGCCATAACTTCGCAGTGGTACTTGCAAATGAAATCCGAGGCATGAGTGCTCCTCTTGTAAATTGAGTCATCTTTTCTCTACTTTTCTTTGATATTGTGTCATAGCTAGATAGCTGCATACGCAATTAAAATCTGATGCAAAAAATAAAAAAAAAGTGTCGACCTTATCATTCTTGCGCAATCCCCTTGACTTAATCTTACTACAAACTACCTCGCCTCAATGACCAATACAGCTGTTACTCTAATTGAAATTATGAGTTTTGCTGATTGAATACCGGCCACCACATACTACCATGTTTATTGCTTTATTAGGATTTTGCATCAGAACTACCAAATTTACGACGCTACGTAAACTTGCAAGGAAGCATCTAAGTCGTAATATACAAAGTTCGAATCTTGATCTATTAGGGACCGTCATTCTTATGGGACTTCACATCTTGAGGGGAGATATGCGGCTAGGACGTGGGACGATTGAGTTAAGAGGTTACCAACAGGCATAGCGGGACTCACATTTCGAGGTGCTCTGTTTTTCTTGTACTTTAAGGTAATTATCTAAAGCTCTAGATTCTACTGTGGGTACGGGACCGGTGGAGCTGGCAGTGATCTCTGAACGCCGGTCCCTCCTCCAAATTTGTGGAAGCTATTTCTGACTTCTTCCAGGTGCTTCGAGCACCTTCTATTTGATCTTCTGGGTTTAAGGCCACGAAGCCTTCTCCATCCAATACCGTCGCATCATTCGAATCAGGTAGACCTCCTGCCTCAGCCTTCCTTGCAGCAGTCTTCGCTCGCGCTAGTACGGCAAATTCTTTGACTGGCCTATCGCATGGTAACTAATTGCTCCTTGGTCACCGGGCCAGTTCGGTTTGTTGGAGCTGAGCGGTCTCGACCCTCTGAATGGTGTGGGCGACGACAGTTTAAGGACTTCGTGGTGGCTCTGCATTACACGGCGGCTTACATCTTCGACGCACAGTTCCGGCAAGCTAGGGCGCGGGAGCATCTATTAGTGGCTGCGATGATACTGCTGGAGCTTTGTAGCCGTTCCAGATTCGTTGAAAAGGCGGAAACCCGCACGCGCTGTGACATCCCGAGGAAAAAAAGGGCATGCCAGTCACTGTGTGTAACACCTGTATTGGCCTCTTGTCGGTTTTTGTGTAAATCTCGTATGAGATGTATTCAGCGTCAATCAGTCTTGGGCCATTTACTGTCTAAATTTTTACAGGTATATCTGCAATCGGCATGGTGAGCAGGTCCAAAAATGCCACGAGTTTGGCGTGGAAACTCGCCAAATTCGAAGAGGCCTTTGGTAGCCCTCGTCTTGACTTTTCGTTCTTTGCTAGAACTATTTTGATATGAGACAACGAGGTATTCGAGGCTAGGGCATTGCGTGTGGCTCAAGGCCATAGCATTTATCACTAGTGTTCTGGTTAAGCGATCATGTCTAAAGCTCCATAGATGTACCCAGAATAAATGGATAAAGACTTATCCGTAGACTTTCTGTCCATATACCTACTGCATAGCATTATAAGAGTCTATTCACTGTCACTCACTGAATCTAACATCATCCACTCCCCATTACTCTGCAATATGGCTTCCGCATAGCTTATAACCACAACAAGAATCACAAACCTGGCTCTTGTCATGAATGCGCTTTTCACATTAGTAGTAAGTCGTCATTCACGTAGTGTAGCATGCAGAGCCACGGAAATGGAAACAGGTTAGTGATAAATTAGATACCACCGATCGCTACACTCACCCGTAGATCACTCCTATAAGAGACTAGCTGCGGCGTTATCTGGAAGTATGTGGGAATGCTTAATTATCAAGTAGATAACCTGTAACATAACAATAAGATACCATTCGCATCCCATAACATTCATTGCCATAATCACCCAAGTCTATTCTAAGCCCCCAGAGTAGTCACAACCATTCAATTGAAGATACCAAGTGTATACGACCATATACATCACCACCCTTCAATAGCTCCAACTCGGTGGATCGAGCTAATTTCATCCTAGCTTCAGTTCAGCGCATTCAGCACTTTTTGCCATTTTAATGCTGGAAATAGATTCCTCCACGGCTTGTCGCTATCAACGTGAGTAATATTGAAAGGCTGGGGGCGATGGGTAGGGAGACGTCACCTTGTGAATAGAATACTGATAGGTATGGGAGAATTCAATAGATCACTTGGACAGAGTAAGATGATTGAGTGATGGTGAATTGTACATGTGGATGTGGATGTAGATGTAGACACTGAGAGTAAAAAGGCCCCATCTATCTACAGGAGTTCCTACCCTTATTCCTCTACATGTTATTATCTATGATAGCTACAGTAACTACAATGTTATCCTCATTGTAGTGAACACGTTGATGTCAGTGTGCAGCTACCAGCAGGCAATAGTGATCAGACTGTAAGGGGTTATGTTGTGATGCTAGTCTGCACAAGGAAGCAAGGGTTTCAGGGCAAGACTCAGTGATGAAACAACATGACTTTAGTTATGCAAGCTCATATTAATGCATGACTCAAATGTGAGTCGTGCTCATTATCAGGAGCTTAAGGATCAAACAATGTCGATACGCATTACATGAGTACATCATACAATCAATGGGCATGGCTGTAGAACAAATCGTACATGTGTATTATCAGGTCCATTTACTTCTTAGGTAGATTATGCGTTCATCTTTAGATATCTCTTTTACCCTCAGAGAGCGTTGGATATACTACTGGGTGGTTTCACGGTCGATCGTAATGCTTCAGTAAAGAGTTATACGATTCTGTGTTGGTCTAAAATGTTCATAATTATCTTGTCTACGCTATACAGGATTCACAGCTTTACTGTGGATTCTGACTAGCGCATCTGTACTGAGGTCATCATGTGATCCCCACATGATGACAAATCAACTTTTACGTTTTAGATAAACCGACACTGGCAACTTTTCTGTTTTTGATGACACTCTATACATGATCTTCTCACCCTCCTCATGTACAAGATAAAACTTCAAACAAATATGACGACAAAAGAAAGGACAAAAGAAACGTAACACTGTGGACCCTCATCCCCTTCACATCACCTCTGCACAAAAACTTCCACATGAATCGAAATGTCATTAAAGTTGCTGAAGCTTTGCGATGCTTTGGTTAGCGTAACCTTTGTATAGGAGTCTGCAGTACTTTCCCAACCATTAATCCAAGGAATTCCTGTGAACTATTTTTGCTTGTATGGCTAGCGAGGCGCCACAATACCAATTGTGAGTTGTTTCTCTTTGGTCAAGTTGAAAATGCCCATCTTGGTAATTATGACTATGATCACTTGACATTTCGCCTGCCATGGAGTATTAGCTAGCAAGCTTCTGTCTCTCAAACTGAACTAGTGTCAGGAACTGAGGATAGAGCAGCACCCTCATATTCTTTCCCTACACTACATCTGAATATTCTCTCATCTTAGAGCGTTTACCGGGTTACAATGGTTGCTATGGGTTACAAATGAAGTAATAGACTAGCAGCAGGCGCACCCCTTGAAGCCTTAGTTGCTCTGGTTACTATGATGTATATATGGGTTGGGTAGAGCCGATGTAGAGGGCCACGTCTTGTTTTCCGTCTTCCATTGACCTTGTCTCTTGTTCTAGTTTCTCTTGTCCCTTGTCCTCAGTTATAGCTAGAATCCCGAATTAATACCTTAGTCTATGACAAATCTTGTCAGATATCATTCGCACTTCTAAGTTATCCATAAAACACAACACCTGGTACCCTCGAGTTTGACAACTAGAAAGACTGAAATACTCCGGGCGGTAGGATTGGTGCCATCGACTTCACATTGTGTGATGATTTGATTCCTAATTCGACGCCGTTCGTGTTCAGTATGCTTAGTTTACCAACAGTCATATTTTCTGCAGATATAGCACTTCTTTTTCCACGGTTGACGTTTCTTCTGGAGGTTAAATCTATCACCGTCATTGCTCTGGTCCTTTCCACTAAAGTAGGAGTCTTGGTGATGTCTTTCAAGATTGTACTGCTTCAAAGACGGTGCTAGGAATATATCCACAGCTAGCTGGGATGCAAGTGCGTGATTTATAATTGTCATAGGACACTAGTCACGTGCTACATGGACGCTAGGACTAATATTGATCCACTTTTATGTATATGCATTGTTTAATGAACCGACCTATCCTTCTCTCTCTATAGATTACAATCATATTATTGTTTTGCCTTTAGTCAGAGCATTTCCTGAACCTTATGCTATCACAATAATTGATAATCGTATATTTGCAATCAGGTCTTCTAGGTTATCCGTAGCCTTATTGATAACTGCTGATGGTTCAAGTTTCTCGTTTGGCTCGTTGCAAGGAGGGAGATCAGTATAAGGGTCATGTCGGAAGTCTTGGAAGACTGGTGGTTTCTCATCACGAGTGTCACAGTTCGAGGTATAGATGCTGGGGCGATCAAATATACGAAGGTTGTTTATTATTTTCTATACCACAACATGTGTGTCCTAACTCAATTATTTATACACTTATTAGGCTATCTAGAATATTCCTTCCTGTCTGATACTAGCCTCTGTTATGTTCCCTTGATACTAGTTCACAGTCTCACTGCCAGTTGCTAGAATCTTCTAGTCATGTTCAGAATAAACTAGACTGAAGTTTCGTCTTTCACAGAATTGCTGAGGCACGTGATTAACATCACGTGATACAGGACAATTATTGGCTCACTAGCCTTTACAACGAGGCACAGAAGGGTAAATTGAGCTAGTATGGGATCGGAAAATTCTTGACTGTGGATCAGGTTGTTGTCCTTCAAGAGCCGGTGGATAGCTTGGCTCACGCTGTTCATACTTTCCATTATGATTATCTAGTGTGAGGTACGAGACTCTTGGGCTGCAGCTCACTGTATCTAGTAGCGTACAGGTTGTCGTTGGTGGGGTTTGCGTTGCTTGAGAGTTTGTACCTGTGAGCAGTTGTAACTTCTTGGGGTAGAAGCGTGATCTTGGCAGCAGGTCAACTGTCAAAAGGTCATTGGCTATCCATTCCGGTAGCTCTTCAAATTGAAGACAGAGGCCAGCTGGCATGCAATGCCATCTCTGACACTGCAAGTATTTATACCTCCTCTTTGTAGAAGTAATCTGAAAATACATCTTATATCTTGCTGAACCTTTTCGAACATTTACGTGCTCCAGCCGTCGAAATCTTCACAAAAAGTACCCAAAAGTTCATCACCGAAAATTTTGGACGTCTGGTAACTGATAGCACACTTTACTGCGAACGTTGTGAGTTGCTTTGCAGTTGTGCTATCTGCTTCTGTGATTAGCTGGCCCCAGTACTGAGCATCTATTGCTTGAATCAGAATTTGGGGCTGTAATCCAAGCTCTTCTAGCTTTGAAGCAGTGTCTCCCTCGGTATCATATCATCTTCATCATCTTGTATGCTCCCTCGAGTCTTTTGGAACTCACTTATGCTCTTAGGTTGTTCAGATAAGGATTCTACTCCTAGCTGTGGAATTATTGGAACACCTAGCTGTGACATTGTGTGTACCGATTTTAAAATCAAACTTGAGTCGCTAGTATCGCTGTGATATAGAGAAGGAAAATTGTGTTGCGTCGGAGTTTTGCAGTGCGGTGATCTCGGCTACACTCTAAATAGAGATCAAGATAGCACTTAGTTGTTCTGCGTGGATGACGCTCTTCGTAGGTGATGAACGATCTTATTCTGAAGACTGGAGACTCAATCTTCTACCAAATTATATTAGCACAGCTCTTCGATGCTTAATAGCTCCAAGCTTGGGTGGAGAAGCAGGGTCGAGTGTCTCTTCGTTGTTAAGCCTAGCTGTCTGTGATTGTGTTGATTACAATCACTGATCAGTGTTGGATAGACTACGGGGTGGTTTCACGATCGATCGTAATGCTTCAGTAAAGAGTTATACGATTCTGTGTTGGTCTAAAATGTTCATAATTGTCTTATCTACGCTATACAGGATTCACAGCAGTGGAGGACGAAGGCTGAACACCTGTCAGTGGTGTCCTCTACGAACCTGGGAGTGAAATATTCTCCCACAGCCGAGATTCAGTCACGAAAAAGGGTGAGATAAATTTTAATTGATGGATTTTCGACTTGAAGGAGTTGCACCCGATATTTTGGTCGAAAAATCAGTCGGCAGAGATTTCACAGCCGGAACAACGTCGAACAAAAAGTCATCACCACCAACATACGATTCACGAATGGGCCTAGGTCTATCTGGGGGTCGTATTCAAACATCCGACATCTCTTAAACTCCTTTTATACTTGCGACGAAGCATTTCTCAATCGATCCTACACCTGCGACCTACCTCCATACCCGACCGATCACGTACCTACACACGCCCTAATGAGGAAAGTCATGATGGAAACGGGACGTGTACAAAGGAGGAAGAAGAGGGAAGATACACCGAGGGGATTACGCAAATCCCCAATGAAGAAAACAACCCAACGTTACGATATGAAGGTGCAAGGCTAGAGCAACGATGAGATCTTGGACGGCATTTATATTTCGGAGTCAATGAGGATGTCAAGGGCTCGGGCGCGTGGTGGCCGAGGCTGAGGAGGAAATTGCGCTACGGCGTGTATACAACGGGTTTCTGGACGGTTAGGCTTGGTATGATTCAACACATAGGTGAAGTCTGAGGTGGTCCGGTCATTAAAATGGGATGAGGTTTATCTGCACTTCACGGTAGTTAACCTGATCCGGCCCAACCCCACACGTGCTTAAGCTCCAATAGGAGTGCAACGGTAGCCATGTAACCTGGCACGTTCAACTCTATCTCAAGAACGCATTCGAATCCGAACGCTACCGACGAACCCATACCATTTACGATAGATACACAACTGGAAACTGACCGTCAAGTCGGCGACAATGCCTGCTTTAAGGCGGAGGAAAAAGCTCAACCCCAGCCAAGTAGGGGCTGCCTCATCCACGCGCATTACAAAGCGTAATAAACAATCATCCCCAACAGTCATCGCGGAATCTCGGATGCCTGTTGAACTAAATCAAGTTCCCCCCGCCCCTCTAGACATGCACATAGATTCTGGGGATGAATACATGGACCTCGTGGCAGAAGATGACGCGCTGCAGATTTTGTCTCAGCCGCCGTCAAACAGCCATATTCCGTCCGTCCCTTTACAGCGGACTACGCCCGAAGTTCCGAAGATCTTGTCAACTCAGGATCAAGGCCTTGCTTCATCCATTTTTGCGGTAGCAACCCACCCACCTCCGAGCGACCAAGCTACCAGAAACACAAGGCAAGCGCCTGCCCCAGCCGCGGCTGTACAACGCTCTGTGGCCAACCCATCATCGGCCACCACTAACGAACTAGCCACTACCCTTCTAGCCTGGCAAAATGCCTGGGCTATCCATCTCCGCTCCCTCCCACCTGCAATAGCGGCAGATCTCAAGGCAATCGTCACTCGTAGTGCTGCTAGGGTCATCGCTGGCCTATCTGTATTCGATCAGACAACTACAGGTAAAAATCCTCAAACAACCAATCGAAGCGCCGGGCCGGCAACTCATCAGAACCGTCCCGATACCTCTCAGAAGCAGACGTACGCGACGGCAGCTTCCCGAAACCCCATTCTAGCGGCTCAGACTACCCTAACAAAGAAGACTGTTACTGCACCACCACCGAAGCAGGCCAAGTCTCTCCCCAAAGCTCCTAAGGTCGACTCAAGAGTTATCGTACGCCTACCGGCCGATCACCCGCTCCGAGGACAAGATACATTTCTCATCCGCACAAGACTCCGGAGACTAACTGACCGGCCAGAGCTCATCAAAGATGTGCGCATAGTTCCCTCTGGAATCGCCATAGTAGCGCCCACCGCCGCCCGAGCCCCCGAACTACTTCAAGTAGCCTCGGCATTTCAGACGATTACGGGAGACGCTCCAATAGAGCGCCAGGAAAATCGCAATACATTCATCTTAGGACCAGTCCCTAAGTTTGGCTACAACCATTTGGGGGAACGTGAATCCCTCACCATGTCTGAAACTCGGCAGGAACTAGCCACTACGAAGATTGACCCCGAAGCAATCTTCTCCATGTCGTGGACTCGCCGCTCTGAACTCTCTCCGGACCACGAAGGGACTATACGCCTAGTGATAGCTTCCGAGTCCGCTAAAAAGTACCCAACAAACCTGCGACTATTTGCTCGAGCGGTGAAGCTCCGACAAGTAGACCACCAGCCCCCACTCCAGGTGTGTTCTCGTTGCCACGCGTTCCTCAATGTCAATAGATGCACTCGCCACCCTCGGTGTGGGACATGCGCCGCGGATTTCCACGTCGGGCCCTGCACCAGACCAGAAAAATGCCTTAACTGTGACGGACCTCATCCATCATTTTCTTTAGGCTGCCCCGCGCGACCCATCCGCGCCAACAGAAGCTTCGTCCGCCCTGACAAAACTAGACTCCGAGCTATCCGAAGCGAGGGCCTAAAGGCCTGGACCGCACTACACCCTCCAATCTCTCCCCAGGCCGCTGCGAGCTCCGGGAACTATCAGGTTCCTACCCAACCCACAAGAATCGCCTCCCCCTCTCCTCCACAAATTGGACAAGAGTCACGATACTCCGCCCTGATGACCATAGAGGAATCATTATGATGACTCGGGGCCGGACGCACAAATCCCAATCAATCAACGGTTTGTGCATATTCCAGGTAAATGTGGGTAAGCGGAGCCCGGCACACGACTCCGCCCTCGAACTTGCCTCTAAAAGTGTTGGAAAATATACTCTGTACAATATTATATGGATAAATATGATGAAGTAAAGAAGACTTAATATTTTACAACTATGGGAACATTGGACTTATATATACATCTAAGGGAGATATTCCCGCTAGCCTCGTGTGCCTGTCAAACCTAGTGATGACTAGCCACCTCTCATCTACCATGATGAGCTAAGGTACACTGTAGTACGTAAATATCCAAACGTATAGGCGACAGTAGGCGCGATTAGCGTACTCAGGACATTTGTAGAGAGAGTCGATCTTGTCGGGAACCTGAGACGAAACAGGTAATGATTGAGTCCTAAATTCGAGAGTCAGAATTTCCAACAAAAAGCGGAGCAGATCTAGTACTAATTCAAGAACCCTGGATAAGTACTGATCTCTCGCGCAAATTAACTAAAAATCACCCAGAATACATTTCTTTCTCTCCCCTTCCAATCTGGACCAGCCGGCCTCGCGTAATGACCTACACTCGCAAGGGGTGCGGCCTTTCACCTTTCCAACCCAGTATTCACTCACGCGACCTTCTCCGGATTTGCGTCTCTCGACGCGGAAAGCGTACCATTGACTGCTGGAATATATACAATGCTCCAGTAGGCGCGGTTGGCGCTGGGGATGGACTTCAGCTTCTTCTCAACCTTTCTGATACCCCAGACGTTTTAGCTGGTGACTTCAATATCCACCACTCGGCCTGGGACCCAGCAGCATATAACGAAAATTCGGAAGGCGACTCATTACTCGAATGGACAACTGCAAGGGGAATAACGTTGTTGAATGTATACTATGCCCCCACTCATGATGCCGGCGCTACTATCGATCTTTGCTTCGCACGACATAGTCTCAACGCATCTTGTGCTATCCGAAACGACTTGGAAGTCGGGTCAGACCACAGAACTCTACTAACTCAACTTTCAGACACAGGACCTGAAAGAGATACCTCAGGAAAACTCAGATACTCTGCTTGCAACTGGGTCACCTTCCGTAAAATTATCTCCGACAGACTAGTGGTCGCACCCTCTTCAGACCCAGAGAGAGAAGCTTCTTTCCTGGTAGATGCTCTCCAAGGTGCTCTCAACGCTACGTGTCCCAGAAAACGTA